TTAATTATACTGGACCAACCGTTCCTGTTATGGAACCCTGCCGGCGAGTTATGGGTTTTTTGGGCCACGTTTCCCGAGAAGGATATTGCGCGTTCCCCGCGGTGTTCGTCTTGTTTCGGTTAAACGCATGCATTCGGTAACTATAAATTCTGGAAAAGAATAATGAATGCAATAATTTTGATTAATTTTAACTGCTTATTTATATATCTATCTTTATATCTAATACCTATAAACGAGCAATTCTTGTATATATTTATATATAATCTGAATCTCTGAAACGGCTCGAACGATTTTCTTAAAATTTAATATGTTTGGGGTTTCGGTGGCGAAAAATCGATCTAGCTAGGTTTCTTTTTTAGAAAATGTCGTTCTATCCGTTTTCTCAGCTGGGAAACTGCTACTTTACTAATTTCGCCACGGTTGGAGTCCAGATGAAGTTTTTCTTTTTTTTTCATATTTTCCCCTTTTTTTCAAGTTCCATCATTTGGGAGAAGATATTAAAAAGTATTAATTAGCACCCTTAGTTCGTAATGGCTGGATGGGTTCTCGCTTTAGGTTAGTTTTTAGGTGGAACTTTGTAAAAGTGTTTGTGATTTTAGTTAATATATCTGAAATTCTAGTTTTCGATTGATAATTAACTTATTATTCCGTACCTTTAAGAATGCTCTTCAATATTGTGATACTATCGTTGTCTTTAGGTAAATGGGATGGCGGAAATTCGTTGATGATGACAATGGGATTTGAACTATAACAATGTCGCGCAGGTCGATATCGTAACCACTGAGCCATTACGTTTTATAACGAAACTGTATATTATCATCTTTACCCTATCTAAAGATTTTGGTTTAACTTAAGGATTTTATATGGATATGCACGAAGTAATAAATATATATGTCCCACACTCGTTTGAACTGGTGTTTATTATTTGATTTTGACATATCATATAATGCGGGTGAATATGACATTGGGACTATCCGACAACCTGTTAGTTATGTGGACACAGGAGGCGCATTCCCGACAGTTTCTTGGAACCCAGTTATTTATTAAAGCCCGTCGAGTTATGCCTTGTTCTTACTCCTCTTCTAAAGCGGCGTTCATATTTGTAGAAACTGAAAAATCTTAACAGTATCTGTAGTGACTACTCAATAAAACACACCCTTTATTCTGGACTTTATATAAAAGAAATAAAATAAAAATTATCCCAGTCCTTGAATAATTAAATTACCAGTCCTTGTATAATAAATTATTTATGCCAGAAAATGTGTAAATTATTTACTTTGGAATGTATTTATTGTACACCATTATCTATTTTGTATGATTCAATAATTGCAAATACAAACGGATAATATAATGGATATTATCTATATGCAAAAGACCAAGTTGATTGATTGACAGTGAATTAGAATGTTTTTTTTATAAATTGTGATTTTCAAAAGACGAAAAAATATACACGATAGATGTGTCAGTACCGTATTATAAATATAAATTATTTGATATTTCATTACAAACTTTAAACTCATTTTTAATTTTAAGCATTAAAATTTTGCGATAGCTTTCAGGAGACTTGATTTTATTTATTTCGGAGACTGCTTTTACGCAATAAGGTGCCTATAAATAATATAATCTTTTTGTCAAGGTATCAAGTGAGCTTCACCTGATGTTAAGTGACAGCCGCCGCCCACGGATATTTGCAAGACCCGTAGGGCTGCAGATGCTTTGTCACCTTTAGGGCCTAGGGGGCCCCGGCTTCCCCACTCACCAGACGAAATGCAGAAGTATAACCCTACAACTTCGCTCCGGTCTGTGAGCTCGTGGTTCACAAACGTCGCCCGCGCAACAATCGACCCGGTCGAGAAGGGGACATAGCTTAGTCGTACCTGCCGGGGATCCCCCTAGACGACGCGCGAATGTCATGCGCGGTCTCACCCAATGCGGAGGGTATTAAGCTCATATGATCTGGATATCTCACGAGTTATTCGTCGATGAAGCTTCAATAGTCTACGGACTCAAAGCAAAAACGTGAGTCAAAGTAAGGTAAATATAATATAAAGTGGTAGAGGTAGATACCTTTTTTGAAGTTATTCTCCTTTGGCGCGTTCGGGAAAAATGGTGAGAGTGAATTTCTACGACGCGCGACGCTTAAAAGCGACAACAGTTTATTGTGTTACAATGGCAACCGATAGCAACTGTTTGACATTTTTACTTATAATTCCTAGTTATTTAAAATCCTTGTCGATTGCATTTATTGTTTTTTTTTTTCACAAAGAAACTGGCACACGGGTTAAAATTTTTAGTTATTTTTCTTGTGTTACGCTAAAGAAGTGAACGCTAAGAAAGTGTGACTCCTTGGCTATTAAAAGAGGTTAAGTTAAGAGGATAAGTAGAAAACTTGTCCCAATCCCGCTCAGAAACGCGAGTGTTAGCGTGTCTCTGTATGTTTGTAGGTATGTTCGTCAAAACTTATAATTTCACATTATTCCGTGACCATTTCACGTCTTACACGACACCTCTGGTAAGCTGCGGGCCAAAGCTCGAAAACGAACGTGTTATGTGAACGCGCCCTTACTTGCATAGCGTTGTTCGTGCCCCGCTGACTTTCCACATCCAGTTCTTGAGCGCATAACTCGTGTGCGGACGTCTCTGACGTTCATCCGACTGAGCATCCATTGGTATGTACCTTATAACAGATACAAGAGGTCTTTAACTGTTGTTAGTCTTCGTCTAATAACTATTAAGTTTGTTAATAATTAGAAATTGTAGAGCTCTCACTATTATTTTGAAACTGTTTTGCGTTGTAATTAACTTTTGAAGAATGTACGATGCGTAGATGAATTATGTCAACTACTAGGACACCGAAAAGAAGAGAGGAAGTAGAAGACGGAAGTAGGTTATGGAAGACGAGATCGTTTTGAATGATCCGCAGAGTGCCTTGCTTCAGCGTTGCTTAATAGTTTTATTCATTATCACAAGCAATAACTGTTAACTAACTTATAATAACTGGATCAGGCTGAATAGGGACTATTGTCTTAATAAAATAGCATCCGAATATTTTTATCAGTTTCCTTCACCCAATGTTATAAGCACACAACACTGCACCATGCTGTTACAATATTAGTGCAACAATCGAGATTTGTGTGTCTCAAATATAATATCGGTGTGCCCGCATGTAACGACGGCTCTATGATTCGACATCAATCGAACCGAAATAAGCTTTAGAATTTCATTATCCGAAGAAAGAAATCAGTGACGTAGCTGTTTAGAAAAAACGCATTTGTGACCATGTGATTTCCCATCTCCATCTCTAATGTGACCGATTGGATACAAAAGTTTTATAAAAAAATGTAATGAAGGTATAAGTAGTAACATAGAGAATTATAGAATTTTACAACACATTCAGTTTTGTAAAATTCTACATTCTTATTTATCATCTCATAACTAATCCGAAAAAATCTCAATACTTAATAGAAATAGTTGTTAATGTGTTGAGGCTTGTTAACGGCGATTTGAAATACGTGTTGCTTGCACTAGCATCAATTTTTATTGCATTTCCGATTCTGTGAAAGTTCTCCTATTCCGATCCATCACGTCTCGTTAGAATCCACTTCGAGACATAAATTATAAGGCTGCGTGCACATTGACTGCAGTGTCGGTCTGTGGATCTCTGAAGTGATATCTGTAAGAGAAATGGTTTTAATAGTGCTTACTGCGTTTCTATTGACTTCCTTTATCTGTCTGATCGTTAATTACAAACAATTTACAAACTTATTCATTGATTTTAAGCTTATAAATGGACGTTGATGTGATATTATCTCTCACTTTAGGGCGTCCCTTTGACTTCATTATTTCTTATTACTGGTAAAAATGTCTTTCTTATATGCTGTTAACTATTTATGATAGATTGGTTTATTCTACATATGTTCCCGTTTATTTCCTTTAGATCGTAGGTTACGTTAATTAGAACGATAATATAATAGACGATTTTTCCAAAGCCCAATGCTGCGCGAGATTTTTGTTTAATTACCGTTAGTTATTTATAGCGAATTATTTTAGATTGTTTCGATCGCCGCGCTAACGTTTGATGCAGAATGCTTTAAGGCATCTACTACTTACGCAAATCATAAAGGTGAAAGCGGTGTTCAAGATAAATAGACGAGCGTTCAAACAAGAAACTCTCTCGCCAACGCCTTCGTCCCCTAACCTTAAAGGGACAGAGGTTAATCTATCTATCTACATCGAAGTCGAGCATATCTATTTATTTATTTATTTAAACTTTTACACAAAAATTAACATTGTGTATAGGCCGACTTAATGCCTATTTATTGTCTATCTATATATTATCATCATCAGCCAAAGATGTCCAACTTTGAACAAGAGCCTCCCATTAGTACGCCACAGTGGATGGCTTTTTGCTATTTGCATCTAACGGTCGCCCGCAGCTCTCCAGAACTCTTCAGTGTGCTCCTGGTTCAAGAGCGCCAATAGATAGCTCTTCCCCATCGGTTGCCAGCCCCTTGAGCTTTGTGTCAATAGTTTCCATGTTCCAATGACTATTTTTGATAGATGACCTGTCGCTACACATCGGGAAGAAATGTGAGATGTTGAATTTGGCTACACCATTGAAATTTCTATCCACTACCTTAATTTCGACCACTTCCATCTTCAAACATACTAAACTGTATAAATACCTTAAAATTAAGCTATATATTCGCAATGTGTTTCCTGTAATAGATTGACAAGTTGCTTCCACTGCATGAATTAGCCAGCTCGGAAGCCTCTGTGAACCATAGTTTTTCTCTGAACAGTGGTTCCTATGAACCCAAAATTCAGAGTCTACAGACTGGCCTCATGGAAGACCCGAGAAAAAGAAAAGTTTTTATATATACAAACTTTTTCACTTCGTCCGGTGGTAAGGTCAACGTTATCCCAAACGGAATTTGCCAGTAGAATCTAAAATTTGTATGTGTTAAACAATTCAGGAAGAAACTTTCTTTTTGTCGCAGACTTTCGAACATCGAAGTCGAGCATATCCAAGTCCAAGGAGAAGGTGCCCGCTGAAGAGGAAAAACTCCTGGACAAAGAGGAAGAGGCCAAGATAACGACGCGCGTGGACATGGCGGATGCTAAGTACGTCGTCGAGGACCATAGGAATGGGGACGCTAAGATAGAGCTCGACGCGAACAAACGGGTGAGTGGAAATCAAGCACCCAACATACGTTATTGCTCTTTTTATGTGAGAAGGTGGCAAACGAGCTGGCGGTTCACCTGATGTTGAGTGATAGTCGCCGCCCAACGACATTTGCAACACTCGTAGGGTTACCGATGCGCTGTCACCTCTTTAAAAGTGGGCCCCGGCTACCTCACTCTTTTGACGAAACGCAGAAACATAACACTTCCACTTCACGCCGATCTTCTGTGAGGTCCTGTTATTTTCCAGGACGGACCTGCCCATTCGTGCAACAGCGAACTGTTGCGTGCCCCTACCACAGTAGAAAATGTGTGTTCTGTTGGTGCATTTGTCACGATGGGATTCAGACTGTGGGTAACGGGTTAGATGCCCGGCGTACACTTTTCGTGAAAACGTGATGTTAGGTGAAAACTGTTTACGGTTCCTTGTTTATTTATTACTAGCTGCTGGCCGCGACTACGTCTGCGTAGAATAGGCTGAAGGCGTAACATTCAGACAGAAAGACAGATATACGTAAAATATGTATATAAATTATAGCCTATGTGTTATTCTGATGTATAAGCTATGTTATTGTAAAGTTTCATTAAAATCCATTCAGTACTATTTGCGTGAAAGGGTAACAAACATACACCATACATACAAACCTTCGCGTTTATAATATTAGTAAGGATTATTATAATTATGCACCCAAACAAATATTACCCCTTTACAATGTTGAACGAGTAAAGATCTATCGTGTACAATGCTAAATGTTGTTAAGTTTTGAATACTTGAATTATTTTTCAATTTATTATTTAAGGAATATTAAAGTTCTAGAATAACTATGACGCTAAAAACATTTATATTCTTAGACGGCAAAGAGCAAAGAGTTTACGGAAAGAATGAAAAAATGTATTTCAATTGTCAATGACTATGTTCAGACGACATTTCGAAACAATTCTAGCTCGTGTTAGAATGTCTGCTTATTAAGCTCAAAGTAAAAGCTTTAATTCTTCTAGTTTTGTTTTTTCATCAACTCTAGGAGCAACACGAAAACAGAATGCGACGCCGATTTAATGGATCGCCAGAATAGAGTGGTATACTAATAAATAATCATAAATGAAAATAATAGTTAATATTTATTATCTCGATATATATAGATTTTATTTTAACTTTAAAATATTGTAGTTGGATTGTCTGTAATGAGTGATATTTTAGTTATCCATTGTCTGTAGTAAAATTTGACTCGTTGGTCAGTAGGTTTTGTACATTTTTTGCTTGTGTACTGTTGGAATCATTGTAAAGATTTGTATTTATTTATTAAAGGAGCGTCTAATAACAATATACGTGATAAACGCATTTTGTTTACATAAATATTAGTAGATGTTTTGTTTGTTATTTGTAGTTCATTATCAATTACCCGGCATAATTACAGTTAATTATAAATATATAGATCAAATCATACGCAATTTAATAAATTATGTTTAACGAGAAGTTATTACTTAATTACAAAGTAATTGGACTATATAGCAATTTTATTTTATCAGTAATAGTATCTATTATTTGTCTAGAATATCCAAATTTCTTAACTCCACAGTTAATTTTTGTTGTTGTGAGTATTCAATATAGATAATGCCAGTTCAAATTACTGAGTACGTAACGTAAATCAAAAATGAGTAAAAGTCAAAGTTAAATAAGTTTCAGAATGAAATTATTAATTTTAAATGTTTCATTATCACGTGCTCAGCGGTGAAGAAAACATCGCGAGGAAACCTGGATATTTTCGAAATAATAGCAAAAAATAACAATTCGAATTTACATATGTAAAGTCAATATGCCGTGGGGTCGCGTGGTGTACTGCGCCATATTACCGTCTGTACAGAGCAAGCTTTTGCCCAGCTGTGGGTCATTTATAGACTGTTACTTTTTTTTTATCCGGTGCACATTGTCCACAGCAGTTCTCGGGGCTCACGAAGGAGGAGCTGCTGAGGTACGCGGACGACCCGTTCTGGGTGCGTCTGCGCTGGTTTATGTTCATCCTGTTCTGGGCCCTGTGGCTGTGCATGCTCGCCGGGGCGGTCGCCATCATAGTGCGCGCCCCCAAGTGCCCCCCGCCGCCCCCCAAGACCTGGTGAGTGGGACCTTAGCCGACGTCTGTAGCTGTGGTAGGAGTTGCGACCACGCAACAGACTTCGATGTTGCACGACGGGCAGGTCCGCCCGGGTAAGTACCACACAGAAGACTGGCGTAAAGTGGACGTGTTACATTCATGCGTTTCATGTGGTGGGTGAGGTAGACAGGGCTTGTTTTATTCTAAAGTGGCAACGCATCTGCAACCCTATGGTTATTGCAAATGTCGATGGGCAGCGGTTATCACTTAACATCAGGCGAATCGCCAACTCGTTTGCCATCTTCTAACTTAAGAAAAATAATGCCTCTGACACGAATTTCGATCAGGTGCTTTAGGAGAGGTCCAGCTTCCGCGACAAAGGGCTGGCCTGTAAGTATCGGGGAGTCACAGAAGGCAGCCATTGTATAAGTGTTTATACTTTTCTATATTAACTTTAAGTGCTGACTTATCACGTGATTCGCGGTGAAGTAAAACATCGTGAGGAAACCTGCATAATTTCGAAATAATAACAAAAAAAATATTTCGAAGATATGTGAAGTCCGCCAATCCGCCAGGCCGCGTGGTGAACTATGCCCTGATACCCTCTGCAAAGAGGAGGCCTTTGCCCAGCAGTGGGACATGTATAGACTGTTACTTTACTTTTACTTATCTATTTCGTGTGCTGAGTGTGTGACTACATTAATCGGGGCTACAGTTATTTGTAAAGGCTTGTAAATCCGCTTCATGGGTGTTGTGGACGACAGTAACTCACCAAGGGATGAGACCTCTCCTAAGACTGGCAGCACTTTCTCTTAAATAGTTAACTGTTAGTCTAGCTTAGATGTCGAGCCGCAACCAAATACGTCTTTGGTTAGTGCAGTCGTTCTGGGACCTAGTGCACAATTCACCAAAGTTAATACGAATTTGTATGGTCGTTTCATTCACACGAATTGTCAGTTGTGCTTCTTTTGACCACCGTGTTTGGATCGTAAGATTTACAGTTTTTTTTAATTTAATGATTTGATTTGATTGGATTATTCACGAGATATCCCTTGTTTTGTCACTTGACAGGTTCCAGAAAGGCCCCCTAGTGGACATGACCTCGGCGGAGAGCTTCGACAGCCTGGGGGCGGAACTGCCCCTGATGCAGAAGTACCAGGTCCAGGGCATCTTCACCAACGTGTGCAAGGACACCTACGAGGTGTTGGAGGACACTAATTGCCTGCAGCAGTTCAAGAACTTCGTAAAAAAGGCCAAGAGTTACAGCATCAAGTGAGTGAGAGTGAATTATTTTTTTTTTATGTGAAAAGTTGCAAAGCGAGCAGGCGGCACCTGATGTTTAATGAATACCGCCCATGGACGGACATCAGCTACACCCGAGGGTTACAGATGCGTTGACAACCTTTTGAAAGTTGGGCTCCGGCTACCTCAGTCACTAGACGAAACGCGAAAGTATTTGTTATACTTCCACTTTACGCCGGTCCTCTGTGAGGTCGAGTACTTATCCGGATGGGCCTCTCTTTTCGTGTAACAGCCGAGGCTGCTTCGTGGCCCTATCAACCCAGCGCTGGGCGCGACGTTGCCCACGCGCTTCCAACCCAATCGACCCGTGCGGAAAGTATTGGTGTTCTAAATTTTATAATTTGCCTGAAACGTTTCATAAAAAGTTGGCGTATACAGATGACCCGGTGGTGCCGTTGCTAAGTTATTGGCTATTGGCTGAAGAATTAATCTCGAAACCATTTCCATTGCAAGAGAGATGTCGCCATTGAACTTATAATATTTAGGTTACATTTTTAATTTTAGTGTTGGTCTCTGCACTCGGGACATTATCAATTGTTATTATTTGCAGAGAAAGCATCGCAGCTCCGAAAATTTTATTCATTTATCTACAAAAAACTATTTAGAAAGCTTCAACTTGAGTTCTGAGACTGGCACTAAAATAAAAATAAATGTTCTTTCATACGTTATAAAACAGCCCGTTCCCTAGTTTAGATCCGAGGGTCGGCGTGCTTCGTCACTACGGGTCTTCTAGTTTAGATCCGGTGCTTCATCAGTGTCGGTCTTCTGTTGCAGGGTGATCGTCGACCTGACGGCCAACTTCGTGCCGAAGAGCCACTCGTGGTTCGCGCTCAGCGAGAACCGCTCCGCCGGCTACGAGGACTACTTCATCTGGGGCAAGGGTTCGGACTACTCCGAGGACGGGAAGCCGACTCTGCCCAACAATTGGGTGCGTGAATATGTCTTTTATGTGATAAGATGGCAAGCGGGCTGTTGGTTCACCTGATGTCAAGTGACGACCACGCGGTTGCGTTGCCACCTTTTAATCAATTGGGCCCCGGCTACTTCACTCACCAGGCCAGAAAAGCAGGAGTGTGACATTACAACTTCACGCCGGTCTTCTGTGAGATCGTAGTACCTGCACGGACGGACCAGCCCATTCGTGCAACAGAAGACTGTTGCGTGGCCCTACCACTTTTTATGTCGTGACAACACTTGTTTACTCTAATTCTTCTCTTCTAATTCGTTGATTTGCTTGTGTTGGGTAGTAAGCGTAAAGTTAAGTAAAAATATAAATGTCATGCCTATAAATGTCAGATTACTGGGCAAAGCGTCTGAGTAGGAAGGCATAGTCATTGGCAGATTTCACTTATCTCCGATGTTTTTGTTATTCCAGTCGGCATTTTAAATCGCAATTAACTATTTCATTGGTGGCAGCACCCGGAATTGAATTCGGGTTACTCGAGTATATTGAATTAAAACCGGGAGCTATCACGACAAATAATAGGCGAGGCAGATAATAAGAACCACCGAAACCATCGGACACTATTGTAATATAAAGCGTGCCAATTATTTACCCGCAGTTAGTGTCTGTTTCTACTGTAAGAAACTGACAGCCCACAAAGTATGAAACGAGTATCTGTATGGACGGATAACCTTTCTTCCTCCTTGACTGAAGGCGCTCAAATCTTCTTTAAAAGCGAATTATTTTCGAAAAGTTTGTGTAGGATCCAGCTTGAAGGACCATGTAGGAATTAAGGTTTCCTAGCACTTATATATTAAACATTTGTCCGAAAATTGATAAACTTCTTGATACTGATAAATGCGAACTGAATACTGATTATTTTAAAATAAAACAAAAATGATGAGGCGTGCAATTGACGCCGTTTCGTAATCGTGTCGACAGTTTGTATTCAATTCTCCCCTGTCCCATCAGGTCTCCAAGCTTGATAGCCCCGCGTGGTCCTACAGTGAGAGGCGGCAGGAGTACTACCTGCACCAGTTCGCAGAAGACCAGCCCGATCTGAACTTCACCAACCCCGAGGTCGTGAGGCAGTTCGACAGGGTCCTCAAGCTGTGGATGGAAGCGGGCGCTGACGGGATCAGGTGTGAATTGTAAAAAAGTAAAATAAAGTAACAGCCTAAACATTTCCCACTGCTGGGCAAATGCCTCCTCTATACAGAGGGTATCAGGGCATTGTCCGCCGCGCGGCACCACTGCGGATTGGCGGATTTCACATATCTTCGAAAAAAAATTTTTTTGTTATTATTTCGAAAATATGCAGGTTTCCTCACGATGTTTTCATTCACCGCGGAGCACGTGATAAGTCAGCACTTACGGTGTCCGCGCTTCAAGTTTTAAACTTGCTTTGTCTTGAACGTGATAGATGAACGTGTAACCAAACACCAGGATATGGGACCTCACTGTAATATTTTTTATTTTTTTCAAATTACTTTTTATTATGTTTTTTAGTATTTGTTGTAAAAGCGGCAACAGAGACACATAATCTGTGAAAATTTAAACTAACTGTCACGGTTCTTGAGATACAGCCTGGTGACAGACAGACAGATAGATAGACAGCGGAGTCTTAGTCTCAGAAATCTTATAAAATCTCATAATCAGTCTTAGAAACTGAACTCTATTAGTTCAGTTTCACCCTCTGGGTACGGAGCCCAAGAACAACTTGCTTGGTCGAAGGCGAGGAGGGCGACATGAGGCGTTGGTCCCTAAAGTGAACCCCTGTCGCAGGTTGCACAAGGCGCGCTACCTGCTGGTGAACTCGTCGCTGGCCGAGGAGATCCCGCTGATGGGCAGCGGCGCGGCGAGGGGCAGCACCCACTCGGAGTACGCCTTCTGGAGGCACCGGCACACCGCCGACCAGCCGGCGCTGGCGCCGCTGCTCGCGCACTGGGCCCACCTCGTCGAGCACACGCCGCCCGCCACCGGCAGCGGTGCGCGCCCCTTCGCCACCGATCATTCACCACTCGCCGCTCACTCGAATCGGTCATCAACCATTCACCACTCGCTGCCATTCATACATCACTCGCCATTCGATCACCAATCATTCACCACTCACTAGCGTTCATCCATCACTCGCCATTCACTCGCATTTCGGTCTTCATCCTTCATCACTCGATGGAATTCATTCATTAATTGCCATTCGGTCACCAACCATTCACCACTAACTGGCATTCATACAACCATCGTTATTCGCTTACCATCCTTTCACCAACCGTCCACCACTCACCGACATTCACCCATCACTCGCCATTCGTCCACTATTCGGTCACCAATCAATCACCTAAATATTCACTGTGCAGGTGAGACGGTGTTCACGCTAGCCGAAGAACAACGCCCGGAGCTGTTCCTTATCGGGCGCAATGTGACCGAGTTGAGGCCTCCTTCCGCCGCCCCTCTGCCCCTGGACGCTGTCGACGACATGGTCTCCGGATTGAGAGCGCTGCTGCCCCACTGGCCCGCCCTACAGGTGAGCTATCACCTCGTCGATCTATTTACCACATTTTCCATTGACTTTTTGATGTGGCAAGCGAGCTGGTGGTCCACTTGACGTTAAGTAACCGTCGCTCATCGACATTTGCAACACTCGTAGGATTGCTGTGTGGCGCCTTTTAAATAAATTGGACCTCACTCGCCTAGCGGAACGCATAAGTATAACACTTCCACTTTACGCTGGTCCACTGTGAGGTTGTGGTGTTTACCCGGACGGACATGCCCATTCGTGTTGCGTGGCCCTACCACAGTTTACTATGTGTTTTGTTCTGTTGTTATCTACTTTTACACAGGCATATGTTTCGATTGACATTATTTCGATTTTATTACATACTAGCGACTCGTCCCAGCGTCCCACGGGTGGACGTTTATTTTTTACACCTTGAGTTTTGGTAGGTAAACTAGTAATTAATAAAGCCTATGTTAGACAGCTATATAGGCATAGCTAGGTAGCATTCTAATAGTGAAAGAATTTTATTTGTTATCCATACAAACGTACAAAAATACAAATTTGTACGAATTCCAACACATTGTTTACATACATATGCACACATATATTTTGTAATTCGTCGATAGTCGATCTTTAACATTTGAACTAAAAGTTGTTGGTAGTACAGCGAATTTTGCATGTACCAGTGCACTGGACGGCCTCAGCTCTTGTGTAAATTGCGGTACTGTTGTTTTGTAACGCAGCCTTGTTTCGTTTTGACAGCTGGTGGAGGAAGAGGGCGAGCTGACGCCTTTCGCTGCAGTGCTGCCCGCCGCGCCGGTGCTCCTCCCCGAACAGCTGGTGGGCGGAGATAACGGCACACAAGTGAGTCTCGTCATTTTCCATGTCGACGCAGATGGAGTGTTAACAATTCCACTGCCATTGTGTGATTAACGAATGTGGACGATTAGTCAAGAAGACCCTCGATAATCCGTACACAAGTTAATCCGTACCCACTTTAATCCGTACTCATGCTAATTCGTACCCAAGTAAGTCCAAACCCACATTTATCGGTACCCACATAGTGTGTACTCACGTTAATCCGTACCCATATCCCACATTAATATGTACACACGTTAATCCTAACAGTATAATCCGAACAGCTACCTGCACTCACTTCCTCGCTGACGTGATGAGTTTCAGCAGTTGTAATGTCTCTGTAATGTGTGATTTCATCACTTTGTCTAAATTGTCGTTTCTCTAAAGACTAGGCTGCATGTCATATGAACCTTTGCCTGTTCGAAAGGACGAATGTAAAAGTTAACTTCATTTGGTCGTACTTGTCATTTGAGATTGCCGCCGGTTCGAATTGACATTGGATAAATTAGTTTTTGTGGATCCACTATCTTCGACTGTGCATAGCTAGAGGTTGAAATCAGAACACGTTCCTGGTCGTATTATTTGTGATTGCTGTCTGGGAAACCCTGTGCTGGATTTGTTATCCCTCGTGGTGGATGCTGAAGGCATAGGTGGCTGGCAAGCTGGTCTGAGCTGCTGCTCGATTGAATGTTGTTTTTTACCTCCAGTTGGAGGTCTCCTACATACCCCCCAACAGTGTGGCTGTACACACTACACTTGGCCTGACTTTATCTACTGGTTCTGAGCTCAACGCTGACCTGTGCACACAGGGCAGATGTCTCTGCGGTGACATAGATTTTAAATAACTACCTGATTGGACTTTGTTTTTTAAATTGAATTGCATAAGTTTTACCATCTCAAATTAATTTAATTATTTAACCTTTTATGGTCGCACAAAGTAATGTGTAGGTCCTATGTACTCACAACTCCCTGAGATACTTAATTGTGATTATTACAACAGTCTGTTCCTAACAGACAAGGCGCCCAACTCATTATTATTGTTATATTTTGAAAATATATTGTATCTGAGCTAGTCCAGGGATTGTAACCTTAAACTGAAGAGATAAATATAACATCTTAACTGACAATAAATCTTTTATTAAATCTCCCCATCATTAACTACACCATCCAATATAGAAACGTTACATCTCCTAATGTAATTCCTAGTCTAAGCCTCAATTAAATTCGTAGTTTCCTTTTTAAACATTATGGCCACCGTAGAACACCGATCAATTTTGTGATGCATTTCACAAACGAACATTGTTAGACAAACATCCAGTTACGGAACATTAACTGCAGGCCATGCAAATAGTGATAGAACCTACGCAGAAACGTATCACTGAAACAAACTTTGAATTAAATCTTCAGAGCAAGAGCGCTGGTCTACTGTGGCTCCTGCGTCAAGACTCCAGCATCGAGCACGGCCAGTACACTTTGGCTGCCGTGCCAGCCCGTAATTCCACCGACAAGCTTATCGCATGCGCCAGGTATGTCACATGCAATGGTTATACATTAGTTAATAATTGCCCTTCAGATTTTTTTTCGCATATCTACACAACAGTTTATTCACGCCAAGCATCGCTAAAAATGCAATCGAAGAAACGTAGATATCAAGACGACGCTGTGAGGTCATCGGCCGCTCAGCTTGGTTAAAGCGTTTGTTCATTTATCTACAAAAATTTACGATTTACAATTTACATGTATTGGTCAATTTTGCTGTACATACTTTTTTTTAATATATAGCAACAAGTTTATACAATCCTTGGTACACTTAACTGTAATTTATTTATTTGAGGTTACATTGGAAAATAAAACTAAATAATTTAGAAACAGTGAATGTTATAATTAAACATCGATACCTTGGGAGTCGGGTGAATAGTTTTTTTTACTTTATACAATAATCATCGTGAGCTTCTAGATAACGGATCATTAAATCATAGCTCGGCTTGCAGATAGAAAACTGGCCAGTTGCATACTTAATCCATATGCAAATACAATAAGTAATAAATATATAAATTAGGCTGTCCATTATAACAATATGATAAGAATACTATTGGTTCGTAAAATATCTGGTGAAACTCCGAAAGTCTCTTATTGAAATCAACTGAAATATGATAAACTGCAAATATAATATCTTGGTGCATGTCTCATGGGATAGTGGATGATGGTGACTATGTTTCAGATGGAAGGATGGCCACACGGGTTACGTGGCGGTGTACAACCCTCACTTGTCAGCATTGCACGCCAATCTGACAGGCTTGTCGTCAGTACCAGAATCCGTGTCGGTGCACTACGCCACGGAGGCCGTCAAGCTCTACACAAAGTTAGTGTCCAAGATGATGTTATCCTACAGTATGCAATGCTTTCGAAGGAACTACAATAGATCTTCTAGATTTGCCCAGCCGTGGGAGATATATGGGCTCTTACTTTACTTTTTATTTTAAGTTTTTCTTGAGGACTCCATACAGGGCTTTTTTATTGGTTTACTTTTGACATATTTTACATGAAGCAGTAATGGCTTTTATAAGCATGCGATGCCGCCTGTCGACATATTCGATTTAACGCATCATCTTTCTGTCAGTTTTGATCATTGTTTAAAAGAATGCCCTCGGCGCAATTCGCATCTAGCTCAAAGGTTCAAAAAATTATATTAACCTATAGGGTTTTTGCTTTTGGGCTTTCCCTATAGTGATGAAATGAGATAAAACCACGCTACTGTGTTATAAATATTTATCAATAAGTGCAAAGGTATGCAAAAGACCACTAGCTTTGGACTAAACTAAAAAGGCGCGTGGGGCCTAACACTTCGATATCAAATTGTTTTACCCTATAATAAAACCATGTAAAATTAAAACTGAAGTTATCAATTCGATTACTTTATATGCGAATATTTATCGTTTCAGTTACACGCACAACATGCCGGTGGACAGCGATGATGTGCTAGTGCCGCCGAAGTCGTCCGTGCTGCTTTCTTACGTGCCGAAGGCCACGGTCGAGAACTGAATCCCGGGTTCGATCCCTGAACGCGGAGGATGATCGCTTAGCCGTTTGAAACCAAATGCTTGCGCCGCTGCGTAAATGCGGTCTTTTTTTTTTGCACTAATTCTTTTTTTTATTAATGTGTGTGTATTAAATATTAAAATGAGCAACGTGATTTGGTAGTTTTTTTTGTATTGTTTTAATAGTGGTTATTGTTTGATAGTTCTAGGTTTAATTCAATATACTGGAGCACTCTGAGTGTTGACTTATCGCGTGATCAGCGGTGAAGGAAAATATAGTAAGTAAACGTTTGTTGACTCCGTGGCGCAGTCGCCAAGGTATCGGCTTCGGCGTCGGGGGTTGTGAGTTCGATTCCCACACGGGACAACTATTTATGTGACCCACAGATAGTTGTTTCGCATCTGGGTGTTGGTCTGTGTGAAATTTATATTTGTAAAACGTCCTTACAACACAGGATAATGTTATCCTAAATCCTAAAGGCCAATGTTTTAAAAATATAAAAAAAAACTACATATTTTCGAAATAATAAAGATAAAAATATTTCGAAAGAATGCAAGATATGTAAGCAGTAGGGTCGCATGGTCGACTATGCCCTATAATACCCGGTATACAGGGTGATTTATAGACAACGGACACGTTAACAGAGCATACGCAGAATTTGATCCAGGTTTAGGATCAAATTCTGCATCTGGTATGTACTTGTGACATCATTTTTTTTTCTAAAGATTATTTTTAATTTTTTCAACTTTAATAGTGGTGTCGTCGTAAAGCTATTGTGTTAAGAGGCTTACGATAAAAACGAAAATCGAATGTTATGTCCCTGAGGGAGTTTAGAAATAAAATACCAAAATAGAAATTAATCGTATATTCAAAATTGAATAATATTCGCAATGTTAACATTTTATATAAAAAAGCATTTTGTACAAATATAAAAAGTTCATCGCAAAAGCCCGACGCGTATTTCATGTCACTTAATATATAGTCGATAGTATTAAAATAACCTCTAGGAAATACATTCACTACTAAGTACATATAGGCGACAGACATATTTGGGAATGTATTTTGCGTTTAAAGTACAATCTGGCAAAATTCATTTAAAATAGTTTTCGTAAATGCAAACACTACAGCTCCAAAAGCGTCTGTTTTTTTTAATTATGAATATCGTTGTACGGAAGTTTACACAACACAAGTTATCAAATATATGAATTTACAAAGATTTATAAACGATATCTATTAAAAGTAAAAATGGAATGGCAGAGCGATAAAAGAATAAATAGTGAAAATCTTCCTGAAATGAGAAAACTATGGAAACTTCACAAATAATATAATTTTTGTTTAAAACACCAAGAAAAATATTAAATTTGGCTTTAAATGCTCGTAGGGAATGTTGTGTGACAATAAAATAGTTAGAATTCTGCTATAGCAAAAAGCGAATTTCAAATGAGTAAATATAGTTACAGTTAAGTCGTACATCATTTAGTATGTAGCTTTTATTTTCTAAGAAATAGTCCACAGTTAATATACATTACAGAGTCTTTTTTTAACATATTTTTTTTACAATGCCATCACTTAATCACATTAACAGCTACTACTAAATATTGGCCGCTCAAGATTATTTACCACAAACAAAATCGTATATTTAAATATAGCTCGAGTAGAAAAATAAAGATGAAACCGAATTCAGCGCCTTTTTCTACTCAGGTTATAGTTTCTTACAGATGGACCATCTGAGATGGTATTTAGAAATTAGACCTCAAAATGACCATAAACAAACACGTGCCATTGACAACTGCGCAGCGGTGTTGCAAACTTCTAATCGTTTTTCCCTGAATAGATTTGTCATCCGATGGATTAACGATCGGAATGTTTGGCAGCAATTAGTGACTTGGCCACACTGCTGACTTGCCAAGTAATTCGACTCGCAAATACTGGTCGTATCTCGCCAATTAACACCAACGGCGGTTGCTAGTCGAATTTTGAATGGCGGATTGTGATTAGTTGGTGTATGCAGTTGTCACGCTACCGCGATTGGGGTCAGCGGGTAAGTGTCCTTTGGCCGCTCACCGTCGGTGCAGTTGTCACGCTATCGCGGTTGGGGTCAGCTGGTGAGTGTCCGTTGGCCGCCTACCGTCGCCTGGTGGGCTTGGGCTTGTTGAACTGGTAGTTGGCGCACTTCGGTATGTGCCTCTCGGCCGCCGACTTGTTGAACCGCCTGCCGCAGTGCGGGCACGGCACGTAGTCCGGGTTCTCCGAGGGCGGCGGCGGCGGCAGGTCGCTCAGCTTGCCTGCACGTCTCGCCGATTAGTTCCGGCGGGTTTTTGGAAGCGGTTACCGGTGCCGGCACCGGATGAAATTGTTAACTTTAAGTAACACTGAAGCAATGATATTGTTAATTTTAAGCTGCTGACTTATCACGTGCTCTGCGGTGAAGGAATACATCGTGAGGAAACCCGCAAATTCTCGATGCCGTAATACCCTCTGTATAGAGGAGGCTTGTGCCCAGCAGTGGGACTCGCTTGCATTCCTACTCATTTTAAAAAACCACAACTGTAACGTATTTATTTACATTATACGTCAACATTATTGCACTGAAGCAAGCGTAGAAAGACATATAGCATTTAAGTCGTTATTCCTGTTACTAGAAAGAGATCAATAATTAAATGAGTGGTACGTGATCGAGTGTCGGTTTGACCTAAATGTTTGCAGTTGCTTTGCCGCCCTTTAATAATACAACTGCACAAAGAGATATGCGCCTATATCGACTGTTATATCACTCACCGCCCTTCTTGAGGTGCGCCTGCACCTGTTTCGCCGCCCGTATCGCCTGTATGAACTCCTCGTGCTTCTGCCGCCAGCTGCTGTTCAGCTGCTTGCCCCCCTTGGTGCTCTGCGGCGCGCTCTTCCTCAGCTTGCCTATGAACGGTTCCGCTTCCGTGCCCTGCCGAACGAGTTTCGACCGTTTGATGAAGTGACTAGAGCACGTTTTAGAACAGACCAAATAATTTCGCAAACAACGCAAAAACCTTTAACAAAGCGTTAACGTGTGCATTAGAAGTGTTTATAATCTATGGCGGTTCCGCTTCCGCGCCCCGACGGACGAGTTTCGACCATTTGTCACAGTGACTAGAGCACGTTTTTGAATGAATAAATTATTTTGAAAACAATGATTTGTGCCCCGCACACAAAAGTGAATTTTGTGCATTAGAAGTGTTTATAATCTATGGCGGTTCCGCTTCCGCGCCCCGACGGACGAGTTTCGACCACTTATTTCGAACAAACAACTTGTGAATTGTGCTCATACACAAACGGGAAATTCGTGCGTAGTGTTTATAATTTTAATGCGTGTTGAGTGTGGGAATGAAGAGGTTGTCGGCTGTAGTGAATATAATATGACGTGCAATACTAATTTTATAGTGTTTTATTTCAATTTAAAATCAAAGTGATAGTGGTAGGGCCACGCAGCAGCCTCGGGCTGTTGCACGAATGGGCAGGCTCGTCCTGGTATGTACCACGACCTCACAGAAGACCTGGGTAAAGTGGAAGTATAATACTTTCGCGTTTCGTCTGGTGAGTGAAGTGGCCGGAGCCCAATTTTCAAAAGGTTGTCAATGCATCTACAACCCTCGGGTGTAGCGGATGTCCATGGGCGGCGGTATTCACTTAACATCAGGTGAACCGTCCTTTGGCAACTTTTCACATAAAGCATGTAAAGTAGTTATCAAATTCTTGCCTTGTGGTTTTCAACGTCAGTGCCCTGCTTCATTGCAAGACATAAATTTGAAAAAAATATTATAAAAAATATATATAACATAATAAAATCCAATTGACAAAATCCTAAACCGTCAAAAGGCATTTTCGGTAAAACTTTCTGTTGAAATTTTTAAACAACGTCTAGTCAATCTAGTCTTAAACTGTGGTAGGGCAACAATCTCTGTTGCACGAATGGGCAGGTCCGTCCGCGTAAGTACCACGACCTCACAGAAGACCGGCGTAAAGTAGAAATGTTACACTTCTGCGTTTCGTCTGGTGAGTGAGGTAGCCGGGTGGTGCAACGCATCTGCAACCCTACGGGTGGTGCAAATGTCCATGGGCGGCGGTTATCACTTAACATCGGGCAAACCGCCTGCAAGCTTTACCACCTTCTCGCATAAAAAAAACCAAGTCTCACTTGCGCACGTGGATAATGGTACGGAACCCGTACCATTATCCATAAAAATCGGCAAAAAATCATGTCTGTTGTATGGCAGCACCACCTAAATATGTTTTTTTATTCTGTTTTGTAGTATCGGCAAAAGAAATACATCATCTGTGAAAATTTCCACTGTCCAACTATCACGGTTCGCGAGACACAGCCTGGTGACAGACGAACAGAGAGACAGTGGAGTTTTAATAATAGGGTCCCGTTATACCCTTCGGGTACGGAACCTAAAAAAACGAGGGTTCACTCACGGCCAGCCGGTGCTTGAGCGCGTCGAAGGGCTTCCGCTTCTTCGAGTGCGACTTCTTGCATATCTCCTGGTGCTTCGGCAGCCTGTCGGGGGCGAAGCGCCGGCCGCAGATGGCGCACGCGGCGCCTTCGCCCCCGCTAGCGGAGTTGGAGGACGGCGCTGCGGCAGAGATGCCGGGGCGCGTCTTGCCAGTGGGCGTGGCCTGGATTAACGTCTTTTTGGGAACTCATGGCTTAAATATCTTTTATTTATTTTAGGACGTTATTCTACACAACGTTTTCTAGTCGCAAACTAAACTTGATGACTCCGTGGCGTTGTTGTCAAGGTATTGGCTTCGGCTTCGGGGGTCGTGGGTTCGATTCCCACACGGGGCAACTATTTGTGTGACCCACAGATAGTTGTTTCGCATCTGGGTGTTTGTCCGCGTGAAATTTGTGTTTATAAAGCGTCCTTACAACACAGGATAATGTTTTCCTAAAGTAAGGGCAATGTTTTTTTTTTTTTAAAGAAAAAAAAAAATAACGCTTGTACTGTGGGTAGGCTAGATAACTGATGACTTGAACATAATTTTCTTTTGTAAATAAATACATATTATAAATATGTAAAAACCCGAGATACTGAAAAAGCACTATGATCATCACACAACATTTTTCCAGGAGTGGGGATCGAACAGTCACCCTCTGGCGCTACAGCCAGAATCACTACCCATTAGGCCAATCGGGTGGTTCAGAGGAATTAAAATTTAAAATGTAGAGAAAACGGACGAAAGGTTTTTCGCTACGGGTACGAACCCACGTCTTCCACTTCAAAAAATATGTCATCTTTCCTGGTTTCTCCTGGATCGATTGTATTAATATATTGATGTGAAACATCTATAGCCGCACGTAAAACCGATTTCTGGCGTGGCGACGCATGCCGGTATATGATGGTAGATATGCAGTAGTGTGTACGATTAATTACTCTAATTTAAATTAATTGTTAATAATTATTTATTAATTATTAATTAAATTAACTTTAATTAATTGTGTGTACTATTACCGAAGTCACTGATTAAACGAATTAAGTAGTCACGATTTGAAATAAATTCGTAAATTTTTGTATTTAATGAAAATAATGTTTATTCAATAAATACTCATCGTAATCTGGAAAAAAAATCGTAATATATTATTTTATCATTATGACATATTTAGTTCCTATAACAATCTGTTCTTTTCTGCATATTACTTTTACAAAATAATATCGATGTTTCACATCTGCCAGGCGTCCCGTGATGGCTCTTTTTATTTACTTTTTTTTGTATCAGATGGGAATTGGAGAAATTATTTTAATTGGTATTTTATTTCATTAAAGTTTTTAAAAGCTTTTTGTCGTTTCGGGAATCGAAAACACGTCTTCCGGAATCGTACCCAGACGCTTTAACCATTAATCTAATCGGCCGATCGTCTGATCGACGAAATTCTCAATGTATTTTATCATTAGATAATTAAAACAATATAATTATTTTATCACATTGTAAGCAATAATTTTCTTTAAGAAATATTATTGATGGGCCATAGACAAAAGAGTAATTCGGATGACTGTCGTTTCTTGTTGGATAAACAATTTAATTGTCAATACATTTAACACAAAAGACGAGTAACGTAAAAAAAAAAACAAAAGAAAAGCGACGTACCACTGTCGATTTCTTGATTACCTGAAATTTAAAAGATAAATGAAAAAAAAAAAAAAAAAAACAGAAAATGAAACGAAGCAAATTAAACAACGGTTGAAGAATAAAATTAAAAGAAAATAAAGCGAATTATTTTCTTTCTCATGTAAACGTCTATACTATTAGCGACACTCGCTTTTCTCTCTTACGATTATTTAGGATTATTTTGATTCTATTCTGCACATAAGATAATAAACGGTGGTAGGGGCACGCAGCAGCCTCGGCTATTGCACGAATGGGCAGGCCCGTCCGGGAAAGTACCACGACCTCACAGAAGACCAGCGTAAAGTGGAAGTATGACGAATACTTTCGCGTTCCGTCTGGTGAGTGAGGTCGCCGGAGCCCAATTTTCAAAAGGTTGTCAACGCATCTGTAACCCGCGGGTGTAGCAGATGACCATGGGCGGCGGTATTCACTTAACATCAGGTGACCCGTCTGCTCGTTTGACAACTTTAAGCATAAAAAAAAACATAAGATGAATCTACAAATGTAAATTTTTGTATACGTATTGTTGAAATTTTTCTCCGCGCTACCTGGATTCGAACCTGCATCTACCGAGTAATGTACCCCGACACTCTACACCTACGGGTGTTGCAAATGTCCATCCATGGGTGGCGGTTATCACTTAACATCGGGTGAACCGCCAGCTGGTTTGCCACTTTCTTACATAAAATAAACATTGCTTAATAACTTTTTTTTATTAGGTCTGCTAGTAGATGTTACGTTAAAAACAATATTACATGAAACATGAATTAATGTTACAACTTAATGTACATCTAATTAAGAGGCAAACACGCCATGCTTAAAAAATTAAAACAAAAAAATGAATAAAAGTTAAACGAAAAGTATGAACGAAATATCGTTAGGCTTACTTCTTACTAAATAAATGAAGATTTTTAAAAAAGCAGACTTAAAAGCAACCAGTTAACTTAAAAGCTGAATAATGAAAGAAGAAGATGAATACTTGACTGGTTAGTCAAGTATTCATCCCGCAAAAAGCACCCATAGAATACAGTTTTTACCCAAACAGTAGCGATTTGATCAGTGCTAGAATTGATATATAAACACAATACTTACAGCGTTTGTGGGCCGTTGCATGGTTGCCCGTGGTTTCCTCGACTCCGGCACCTGTACCCAACATCCCACAAAGCACTCTTGTTAATTCACATTTAAAATTTACATTTTTCATCTAACGGACAAACGAATTTTGATAATTTGACATGTTTACGAAACGACTGACGTTTGTTTGACGTGCTGCGCAGCGACACGCCCTACTAGATTCGTGTTGCGATTTAAAATTTAACTTTTTTTTTTACTTTTGAAATTAAACAAGTTAAAGATTTTAAATGATTACTTTTAAAATATTTTTTTAGGTTAATGACATGAAACTATGTACACGTTAAGTACTAGATCAGGATTGGGTTTTGAATCGAGTCGCCCGAATTCAAGTACTTACACTGTAAATTTGGGGGCGTTAAGGAAGTTCGTACCAAGGACTCTAACGCTTTTTTTTTTTCTGCCGGAGACGTGTAAATAATTTAATTAGCTATTATTTAAAATTTAAAGATCTTACGAAACGTGAAATGGAACGCAATTTTGATAAATTTCAGTGTTTTCGAAGATGCGAATATTAAAAAAAATTTAAACGATAGAGAAAAATCATTAGTGAATTAAACAACAAGCAGAATTCTCAAGTCGCATTCAGTTTATGAGAAAAAAAGTAATTAAATCTTGTTATTTTCACTAAGAAAGTACGCACAATTTATTAATTTTAATAAATATAGGAAGTGGGGACTTCATACTTGTACCATTTGTTCGATCATTTTTTTTTAAATTAAATGAGTTGCTGATCCAACACAGAGCAATCCGACTCGGACAGATTAGGTTAGAAGGTTAAGTTTAACTTTCGTGGTTATTTTTTTTTATAACCACCCAATAGCGCTTCTGTTGTTAAGTGTGGTTAAGAACAACAGGCAGGAGGGGAACCCTCCCATTCTTATTAGATTTCTTGACATTCTTATTAGATTCTATTAAATAAATAAAATAAAAAATTGTATAATAAAAAAAAACTATGCACCTCCGGCGGGGGGAGCATGTGGGGGGTGACTCACCACATCACGCCCCCTCCCCCACCCACGGACCCCCTACGAAGGCGACTCGTTTCAAAATTGACCCCTAGATCATTGTAATTATTTCAAAGTATATATTAGTTTAGCATATTTGAGCAGATGTTAAAATTTTATTTTGTCCACATTCCTTGCATAATAAATCGTTTCTACTTGAAATATGTTCATTTTTGTAAACTGCCATTAGTAATATAAAAGAATAGATCATGAATAATTTTGTATTATTGTTTGGAAACTGTATTTTCCTTTATAATAATTTTGCTTTTTAGTGTAGTTTCTGTGTTTTTGTGAAACTTAAATATGTCTTTGTTCTTTTCAATTTAACTTTTTTCAGCAGTCTCGGAAAAATATGAATGAAATGTCTTTCAATTCCGAATCGCGTCTAGATGATTTTTGAAAAAAAAAAATGGTGTTCCGCTCGGAAAAATGGGGTTTGGTTTTTTGCAAATATATCAAAAACTAATAAATTTTTTTTGCAAATCTAAAAAGAAATTCAAAGGGAGGAAATTTCCTTAAAAACCCTTCTTGACACCCGGAAATGCAGGACGAATGTATATTTTCTCTTTGAAAATACGGCCGAAATAACTAGCGTTAATTTAACCTTTTTCTCGTAAACTGGTGTTTTTGCATGTTTCGAGGAGGTCACTGTCTATGTTGGTACAAAGTATAAAATATTATTAAATGAAAACTTACGGTGTTCTCGCTGCCGATCCGTTTCGTTGACGCGACGGGCGCGACATTTTGTGGTCTCGCTTTCGTTGGACTGCTGGTCCGCTTTTGTACGGGATGTCTGCCGGTTGGCACTTCCCTTGTTACAACATAAGCAGTTATTACCGTCAACCATGGATATCCTAAGTGTTGCTGGTGCGTTGTAAGATGGATAAAATATTAATCAGTAATGCGAAAGTGTAAATATGTGTAGTTGCTCATCATTGTCGTCATCCTCATTTTAGTCTGTTCGAGGCCACTTTTTTTTTTAATGTGAAATGTTGCCAAACTAGCAGACGGTTCACCTGATGGTAAGTGAATACCGCCGCCCATGGACATCTGCTACACCCGAGGGTTACAGATGCGAACCTTTTGAAAATTGGTCTCCGGCTACCTCAGTGACCAGATCGAACACGAAAGTATTTGTCATACTTCCACTTTACGCTGGTCTTCTGTGAGGTCGTGGTACTTACCCGGACGGGCCTGCCCATTCGTGCAACAGCCGAGGCTGCTGCGTGGCCCTACCACCGTCGAATATCCCCCACGGACTGCCACAAAGCACCATCCTGAGCCACCTGCATCCATATTTGACATCGACAGCCCTACTGGCCTCTCTTACAGACTGCCATTATCCAGAACCACCTTAATTCATATTTGACATCGACATCCCTACTCACTCACCAAAGTATACAAAGAATAATGATACCTTTATTATTTCAATATTTTACACACTATGGGTACCAAAAAATGGTAAAAGGTTTCGTTACGAATTAATTGAAAAAGAGAGTCACAAACTGCAAAATATTTACAATTGCCTTGCATTGAAGTCATCATCACTAAAATCAAAGTAAATAACAATGTTTCTAGCACTTATAAAGGAATATCATGCTAGTTCATAAATATAGATTTGTTCGGAGAGTTACCAGCATAAATATCTGCTGACATAAATTCTTCTTTTTTCGTTTTCAAATAAAATTAATGAACAGAACAAGACAGAACAAAACGAAACAAAGGTGACACCTAAGTCGAAAGCAAAATCTTCAAACCTTCAAAGTTCAAAGTTTTCCTTTGTTTTGTATTGTTCACAAAAGCCAAAAGAAAAAACAGACACACCATAAGAGCGAACGGTTGATTGGCCATTACTTACTTCTGTGCTGTGATCTTCTTGACCTCCCGCTTCGGCTCTGGTGATCTGGGCGTGGGCGTGGGCGCCAACGCCTCGGGGAAGGTCTCGTCTTCAAGGAGGCCGTTGGTCTCTGCTTCTCCGCTATTGTCAACTTCGTCCGAGTGGTTGAGGTCGCCATTGGTCTGGCACTGGGATTTCGGAAAGTCCCCAGTGTGGATTTATAAGTAAATATTATAGGATTTCGCTTAGAGGACCGATAGTAATTTTTGCTCGATTGCAAAATGGAAAAAAAACTTACCGTGTTTTTAAATGAATTCAGATCCAACTCATGATTGTGGTTTAAATCGCCGGAGATGTTCGCAATGTTTTCTGTTTTCTGTATCTGAAAAGAGAAATATACAAATAGCAAATATTCCATGACAAGATCCAAGTAAGTATTGATTACAAATTTTAAGCAAAATTCAAGAAGTATTTTCGTTTTGTGTGTATATCTGAGATTTATAATCGCAAAAATATGGTTTAACTGCTATAGTTGAACGAAGAATCCTTACTACCACTAGCACAAGCCCTGAGCTTTCGTCTGAAGCTTAGATTCTAGTCTTTTTTATATCGGAGCAAAGGGTTCCCTTCCCATTCTCAAAGGATGCTCAATGAGATCACAGGATTGTGGGATTCTTTTCCCAATAGGGTACCCGCTTCGAGATCTCATTCAAACTTAAATCGGTTTTTAACTGCATGCAAATTAAGCATATCCCAATGTATCATCTAACCCCGTATAAGAGCTGCTGTCGCATCACTCCGTGCTTACGTCTACTCACTTTATTGGAAGACCCCTCCTTCCTCATAGACAGCTTCAAATTCATGGATAGACCAATCTTTATTGCTTGTGACGACATGTTTCTTAGCTATATTAAACCTTATGTACCCTACATATTCGAATCCTAGACTATACTGGGTCTTATCAGAGGCTAGTGAGTTAAGACGAGAATCTTCCAGAGAAATCATTACTCACGACTTGTTTTTTCACACTGTGCGTGCTTGTGACATGGTTTCTGCTCGTGGCCTTCTTCTCGACGGTGACTCGAGTGTTCGCGACCTTCGTGTATCCATTGGGCAACGGGTTCTTAGTCTTGGCACGCTCCGTATTGTGGATCGGCTGCAGTGGGTAGCTCTTGTCTATGCCTGCCTTAGTCCTGCGCTCCTCGAACATCTGTCTTACCTGACGTTAGAAGGATAAAGCTTTGTTTTCAAGGAGAAAACGAACTTTTGCTAAGAATTTTTTAAATACTCTTCTTATGTGCTTCACTTTTAACTAAGAAATAGTGTAATAAAATCTTTGAAGTTAATTTTTACCATCGTGTTCGTTACGTACAGTGATGGCTTCGATGCGAGACCGCCAGTTACTTTGACCAATTGCTTTTACCACTATAGCATTTATATGGTTAATGCAATCCAGAGCGCATCACATTTTCCGTTCAAAGGCAAGTCAAGAAATAAGAAAACATTTGATCCGTAATGTTTTATTATTTCTTTTATAAAAATCCGATGTTTTTTCCTTCACTGCTGAGCACGTGATAATTCAGCACTTTAGATTAATAATTTCATTTTTGCCGCCGGCACCGGAAATCAAACTCAGGTTGCTCGAGTATATAGAATTAAAGCGAGCGCCCGGACAACGAGCTATCACGGCTCAGCTCATTTGATTCGTATCAAGCTTTAATAGGCTGCGGGCAGAAGGGAAAACATCAGTTACCTGAAGGAAAAAAAGTAAAGTCTTGTAACATGTGCATCTTTTAGCGCTTTTTTAATGTAAGAAGATGGCAAGCGTTCTAGTCGTTCACCTGTTGTTAAGTTATAACCGCCGCCCATGGACATTCTCAACACCCGTAGGGTTGCAGATGCGTTGCCACCTTTCAATGAAGTGGGCCCCGGCTACCTCACTCACCAGGCGAAACGCAGAAGTATGACACTTCCACTTCGGGACGGTCTTCTGTGACGTCGCGTTACTTCCCCGGACGAACCTGCCCATTCGTGCAACAGCAGGCTGTTGCGTGACCCTACCACGGGTTGACGATATTTACCTTCCCCGGGTGGTGCACGGGGGGATGTGTTGTTGAACTGGCGGTGCTGGCATTGCTGGGCGACAGGCGCACTTTGTCCAGGGCGCGCGCCTGCTGAGCCTCGTAAAGCGACGCAATCTTCAGCTCTCGCTCCTGCAACTGCTTCTGTTGGAACCGTGCCTGGAAGAGTGCAACGGATTGATAAGCACTTTATATATATACTGTGTATACTGATATATATATATATATATATATATATATATATATAAATAGTTAATGTAGCGCTTAGAGTTTACCATACCATAAGGGTCTGCGTTTATCACACGAATATAACGTGCTTTACGCGTAGTTTAATTAAACAGTTATTAAGAATAACATCGTGTCGTATATGTGGGATGCCAAAAAAACCTTTTTTTAAGATAGGCAAGATATATTAAATAATAATTGAAAGGAAAAAATACTGCATACATTCTTCCGTTTACCCTGCAGTATTAGTACCCGTGAAGAATGCCGATCCGTTCCGACTTACTTATGTTGAAGGCAGAAAGGGTCGTGAGGTTTGTTATGAGGTTCAATTCTTTTTTCCATAATGTGATTACGACGCTTGGTCGAAACATAAGACTGTAAACAAACAATAAATCATGACTATCCTTACAAAGGACTAAATTTGACTCTTTTTTACTATTTTAGAAAGAAAAACCCTGATAAGTTGATAAAATTACGCCGTAATGTAGGATATATTTCAAAATTGAAATAAGTTCCTCAATTATGATTAATTTATCATATATTTTGATTTCTCTTCATCAAATCAAAGTCAATTTTAAATTGGAAGATCCGGCCATAAGGGTACAGCTGTTGCTTATAAGCTTATTGAGGTATTATGTAGATTATAATATTACAGCGAGCATAAACGTATCGATATAATAACACTGCTAAGATACATATAGGACTTAGGCGACAAGCAAATTGCACGGTATCAACTAACTAATCGTGGGTTTTGCTCTTGAGAGGCGCTCCTTATAAGGCATCCTGTCGATATCGAATAGAGCCGCGTGTTTGACAATACGGATGTGGAGCAAATGAGGCGATTCAATTAAACGCAACGAGGCGTGGAGTGCTTATATTATTTGCTATTGAAAGTGAATTTAGGCCGAAAACAATGACAGTGGAATATTTACGAATATGATTATGATATGAATATGATTAAGATATATTAGATATGACATTATGGATATGACATTATGGCGTATTAACGATCTTCACGATGATGAATAGGAAATTGAAAAGTAAAAAAATAATTAAAGTGCTGCATTCTTCTTTTAATCCGATGATGAGACTGGTATTACCTAATACTGAATAATTAAAGACAACGCTGGCAATAAAAGGCTCCATTACAATAGTATATTTGTGAATGGAATATTTAAATGAGTTGCCAAGATGGCAGGGTAAAATCCGTATTAATGTGAGTACGTGAATAAGTACAGCAAGAATTGAATATACGTTAACAGACAATTGAACGATAAAAAATTTATCGTTTGTAGTTTTGTGCAGTAGATATACATTATACAGATTATTATAAAGGACTGCTCCAAAGTCAGAACTCAAATCTGTGTCTACTCCCCTTAGATTAGATAGATTTTGTTAAGGCTCATTTGAATTAGCTCTTAATAACTACAGGTAACTTGGGCATTGATTTGGAATTGAATCCGCTCCGCTTCTGCGAGATACCACACGGCAAAGCGAGGGCGGGTGAGGCGCCTACGCGTCAGTGCACACGGCGACAACCTGCCAGTGCCAACGGACCGCTAATATTATTGTTCCATTGAATCAAACGCTTCCGTCAGAACCGAACGCCGAAGTTCGCACTAAAGAAAGGGAAACAATACCACGAATGTGCTGATGACAAATTATTAAGAGCGTCTTCCGCTTAATTCGTCACAATACCTTTTGGTCTGTATACAATAAATACGATTTAAATATCGATTTATTTGTGTCTGTTGCAACATATTAAAATGCTTTTTATCCAATACCGCTTTCGGAATAATTTCCGAACACTATTGGCTAGTGAAACACGTTGCCATAGTTATTCTATTTTTAGTAAGGTTCAACAGCTCCTGTGGCGGGGTTCAACCCATAGTAAGGACACCTTAATTCCCCCGTGCAGCAGGCACGAAGGCTACCACTATATAGCTGGACCGTGTGTCCTAGCACGCGGGGGGAGGAGGCTTTAGAATGGGTCGCACCGGTGTCGCTGAAGATCGCGTGTTCTCTTGTCGCCGGTCGATGCAACAGAAACAGGTGCGAAGTAGGTTTTTCAGTAGATACCTACATGTCTCTGACCGGAACTCCCACATACCCGTGCCCCTCCCCAGATCCGGTAGCAGGGGATGGGAGGGAAAAAGGTACGTGTTCCGTACCATGACTCGCACATAAGTAGGTAGGCCGTGGTACGTCCCCGGACGCGCCTGCCCATTCTTGCAACAAATGCAAGAACGCCCTACATTGAAATTTACAACCCCACGTTGAATGCGTGCAATCAGCCAAATGGCCGCCAAGTGACTGAAGAGACTAATTTGAAGCGTCATTTCAATTACCACGGGGTGAAGGAACCAGACGATAATGACAAGATGTTTGTATAAGGGTTTATTTAATTAATTTTAAAGCATAATACGGCTCTCTCGAGATGATTTAGTACGGTGCATGCTTAAAAATTTCAGACAGTTGTTATTTGATTCTTAGCTAATTCCTAATATTAAAAAAACCTGTATTATCTTTATGTATTCTTGTGTTTTTTTTTTTCGAATTGCTTCGAAACCGTTACGAAAAAAAAGAATTCACACTTCAAGAACTGTACGTATTGCATTAATTTTTCATCCATTTATTATTAACTTATCTACAGATATTACAGTAAGGAATGACAGAGAAGGCTTATGCAATCTCTGGTAGTCGAAGATACAAAAATAAAAAACTGGTTTTGCTGTTAACCAATATTATGTAAATATACTACAGTAATATTTCACAAAGATTCCACTTTTTAAGGCATTTTAAATCCTCACGGATGTTAAACATTATCATTTCATTCATTATATATTATTATTATATAAAATTATGACATTTAGACGTGGTACTTAACACCTGGCTTATAAGAAATGCTCAGAGTTATATAAAAAGCTATGGAGAGAGCCGCGCTCGGAGATTCTTAGTATGATAGAATTGAAAAAAGGACGGAAAGACGTCGCGTCAGGAAGGCCTTGCATTCGGTAGATCGACAGTGCCTTTGAATCGCGGGCGATCGATACCGTCTTCCGGGTTATGACCAGATAAAATCACTACATAGTATAAAAAAAGGTCATCCCGCTGTCTGTCTGTCCCTATGTATGCTTAGATCTTTAAAAGTAGGCAACGGATCTGGATGCGGTTTTTTTTACTAGACAGAGGAAGGTTTATATGTACAATACATTAAACCCGAAGCCGGGGCGGGTCGCTAGTTTCTAAATAAATTAAACAAGCATCGCATTAGTATTTTTATTGTGTGTGATAGGGGTTGGGTAGTACTAGTAAGTCCCGACCACTGCGACCTAGATGATCTATTATAGTCTTCCAATCGAAAAAAATACCTCTTACTGTAGTAGGCTAACATTAACTTGTATTTTAAGGACGTTTTACATACATTTCACGTGGGCAAACACCCAGATCCGAGACAATTATCTGTTGGTCACACATATAGTTGTCCCGTGTGGGAGAGCTCAAGACCCCCGGCGCCGAAGCCAATACCTTGGCAACTGCGTCACGGAGTCATCAATAAACAAACATTAGATAGATATACAAAATCGATCCACCCTGACTTCGCACATCGAGTACTGAGATACGCTCGATTCAAAACCCACTGTATTATTACCGAGCGAGTTATATCACTTCAATGATATTGCGTCGTCATCCTTTCACTTTATTAACGGGACAATTTAACAGCAGCGATATTTTATCTCAATTTAACCGGGCGATTGGCGTGATGACCTACATACATGTTCATATTCCTATTTGGGCATTTGCAACTACCGGTGGTTTAAATTTTTGAGAAAACACCAAATATGTATTACACAATAAATTAACGAGAAGCGAGTGTTTTGGTTCATGAATAAAAATGAATAGTGATAAACTTTCAGAATCAATTCATTGCGGGTAATCCATTGCTTGGTGCAAAGCAGTAAGTAGTGCTGCAAAGTGACGTGTGCTGTGCCAATTGCACCGGCACAGCACCATGTATTAGAGAAGGCCTAAAAGGTCATAGTCGCGCCGGGGTCGCGGAAGATTGCGTCCACGTGTTCCCGTTTTTCACGGGAACCCCACATACCCCTGCCACTTCCCCCATCCAGTGGCAGTGGATCCATAAAGGATTTTTCCCACGAAAAAAAAAGGTACGCAAATTGGTAGTTATTGGTGTAGTTACTGCAAAAGGATTGGTAAATCATCATCCTTACCCGAAGCGTGCTTATTTGTAGTACAGAGGTGATCTGTGTACTACAAATAGTGTACAATTATTGGTGCGGTCTTAAGGAAATATCGGAGCCCTGAGTACTGAGGTCTGCCATCGAGGGGTTTTTGTAGATAGGACACCCCTGTCTTTCCTCCCAAGGGAGTACTGTTAAAGATTCGCGTCGCGAGTATAGTCCAGTCCAGATGCGAGTTTACATGAATCTTAAAGGCTGTTTCAGCAAATGTAGAGACGAAAGATGAACAAGGGCTATTTGCACATTAGCGCTTGTGACGTCCAAGGCGAACCGCGCTCATTTCTAACGTAGAGCGGTTAGTAATATCTTCGTAAGGCGCCTATGAGTCAACAGTCAACGGCCTTAATCTTATTTGGGGGGCAATCGACGTATACTTCCTTAGTTCACTAAACGGATATTGCAAGGCTCTTACTCTACACATGTTGTGAAAGAAAAATTTATTCTTAACATGTTTTTATTGTGTTTTAATAAACAATACTAATAAATCATAAAAAAAGTAAAGTAAGAGCCTATACATGTCCCACTGCTGGGCAAAGGCCTCCTCTATACAGAGGGTATCAGGGCATAGTCCACCACGCGGCCCCACTGCGGATTGGCGGACTTCACATATTTTCGAAATATATATATTTTTTGTTATTATTTCGAAAATATGCAGGTTTCCTCACGATGTTTTCCTTCACCGCGGAGCACGTGATAAGTCAGCACTTAGAGTTAAAAACTTCATTGGTGCCGGCACCGGGGATCGAACTCAGGTTGCTCGAGTATATTGAATTAAAGGCGAGCGCCCGGACACTGAGCTATCACGGCTCTAATAAATCATATTAAACTTTATTCAGAAGAAGCCTAATTACATTTAATTTTTTCATGTTCAATGTAACGTTGTCTGACACATTTGTACAAAGCATAAACACAAATAATTCAATCGTAGACTTATCATTGACAAACGCTCGTATAAAGTAACAGCGCTGGATCAGCGTTTACAACGTATAGTAACAGCACAAATTACTTGAAGAACCTAATTTAGCGCCCACAACCAACTACTCATTTTGCTATGCATACAGTCTAAGTTTTATTATTACGTGTTTCTTTTCCGCCATTGATGTGGGCACTATTCACCTTCCTCGTTCTATTTACGGTCTCCAAGTTGTTTATCTTTATTAACTTTATCTATAGGTGAACAACTACACTTCTAAAAGTATATCATAGCAACAAATAAAAATCTTTAATTATACTTAATCAAAAAATTAATACAAAATACCAATTAAACGACACCTAACGTGGTTTATTTTGCTATTCGTATTTATCGTTTTCTTTAATCTACCATCTTATATTACTGCTATAAACGTAGTCTGCAGTTTAGTATATGTATCAGTAAGGACTGTGCTTACTGATAGATATAGTAAACTGTTTAAAGTGAGAGTCAAGTTTCAATCGGCAATCGCAAACAAGTAAGTGTTAACAGTTACCCTAATGGCGAGGGCCTAATATAACGTCTAAGAATACATTAGGGACAAGGATGTGTGGAAATTACTGGCTGCTGCTGATTTTATACCTACGTAATTTTTTATACTTGTATCATTAGCTTAGAGCTTCTCACCGGTTCTTCTTTGGTCAGGTCTAGTTTATAGAGCCGGTAGTTTAATTCGTTCATAAACGTTCTATAAGAGCTCAAAATAAGCATATATTGAATAAAGAAATTTACTTTGCATCCACCGGGTTCCGGGACACACGGGAACTTAGGAATAAGATTCGCGGAGTGGTCTCTGAGGTTTATGGGACACACGGGCACATTGTTTTCGGTGAGTCACGAGGCCGTATGCAAAACTGTGATGCAACTCAGGTTACGGCTGCCCAGCGCGTCGTGACTAAGCCGCGGCCACGGTGGCACGACTCGTGCCGAAGGCGGCTGGAATATAAACAAACCGTCTTACGGCGCTCGATTTGGGTCAACGGCCTTACGTTTGGCTTAAGTCTTGCCAGATATTGCGGATTCTGACATGGGACGCTTCGAGAGGGCACTATTTTACGGATATATCGAGTTTTATTTGTTTTTTAACACTACAGCATTTAACTAAGTTATTAGTAATTTCCCATGAACACGATACTTTTTGGAATTCAACTCAAGATGAGTTGAATTCCAAGAAATCCATACCATTGAGAACTTTACCGTGTCCTGATCTAAGTGACTATCTGTTGTGTAAATTAAACTTCATGAAGTCTCACTTATAAGAGTCTCACTATATGTCTCAATAATAAATATATAATATCTAATAATATGTATAGTATTATTTGTTTGTCACACTGTTATATTAGATAATATTTTAGCCCTTACATGTGGTAGATTTTTAATCTTTCAAGGTGATTAGTATTTTCTTCAAGAATTATGTTCACGGTGAACTTAATCAATATAAAGTAAAACAAGTCTAGGGTACATTTTAATCAGTCCCCTATTTTATCATAGTGAAAGATCATTAGATCAGGAAGTATGAAAATGTGAGGTAAACATGAAGTGATTTTCCAAGTGTTATTAAAAAAACAATTACTTATTTATTTTATTTACTGAATTCTTACTCGTACCAGATCAATTTCTAAAGAAATTTGACATAAAGACTCTCGTTTAGTATTTGAATAAGTTATCCATATATCTTTTAAGCGAAAACTTTTAATTCGCTCCTGTTTTCTCTTTAACTTATTTCTAACTTACAAAAGCTAAGTTAGTTGTTAGTTTTCTGAAAATTATAAAATAAAATAAATAACTTAAATTCTTGGCATTAGTAAATCGACAATAGTTTCATTGAAAAATCAATAAAAGTCAACCATAAACAATAAATTGTAATCGCTTTCGACTCCATGAAGAAGGACGAGCGTATTATTTATTAATTAATTTTAAAACGTGAAAGAAATGAACGGGTAGAGGAATAGCTTTATCAATTTAGAATACTATTGTGCACGTCTCCTGGTTATAAAACATACCTGATAAGAACTTAGGGTCACCCAACCATTTCTGAAGTCAGCTGGATCTGATATGGAAGAGACGCTCCTGGGTCCTCGGTGTTTCAAGTTCTCTGGCTGCCACCAGTTCACGTGCTCCATCGATCGATTAAAACTATAATCCTCCATTGTCACAGCTAAGCCAGATTACAACGTAGGCGTCTTCAAGGCAAGAGTGAATAGGTTTTTATTGAGCTAGCGCGCTTACCATCAACGGCAGCATCGCCACTTACCATCAGGAGGGATGGCAGTCAAGTGCCGGCTAGTTTTGAATTCAATAAAAAAAGCACACCTCAAATATTTCTCGAAGTCTTTATCTTATTTATCTATTCCAAATCGTCACGTTTACAGACTAAAGTTTTATTTATAAACAATGTTCGACACCCTTCCGTCACTGTTTAGGGAAACTTATTGAAGTCCTACGGCTGTGGATGTTTGTTACGTTACGCGTTGCTTAGCAACCTGTGCACGTGGACGTCAATGTCACGGTGTGCCTGACCTTCGGAATTAGCGCCAACTTGAGCTGCTGCTGAGCGACGGTTAACACAACCTGGCTCGTCCAAGTGGGGTAACGTTAGCGCAGTTCATCGCTTATGATTTGGGTATAAGAATGGTTTTGAGAGTGGATATAAGAATGAGTATGAGTAAGTTAGTTTCACTGAAACAGTGCATAAACTTTGGAACAAAGTTTCGGATTGGAAATTGCTTAAATTCGGTCCACTTTATTCGTTAACTGAAGTGATGTGTAAACAGAAAATTGTTTTTGAGTAAACAAATCAAAAACTATTATCCGAAATACGTTAAAACACATTTATAGATTTAGTCGCCCGGGAGTAATGTTACATTTTTGATTAAAATAGCGCTGGCAGTAAAAATCTAAAATAAATCGTAAATTAGGCTTATTGAGATGAAGAATATGAAAATATTTAACTATATAGACATTTGATTAAGCATACAAAAATGGCAATTTAAAGTTTTAAACACTCTGCTACCTTTAAAGTAAAATGTAAAGTAACATCCTATATATGTCTCACTGCTGGGCAAAGAAATCCACTGTTCAGAAGGTATGGACTTCACATATCTTCCAATTTTTTTTTGTTTCCATTTCGAAGATATGCAGTTTTCATCACGATGTTTTCCTTCACCGCTGAGCACGTGATAGGTCAGCACTTTAAATAAACAATTTGTTGGCGGCACCGGTGATTGAATTCAGGTTTCTCGAGCATATTGAATGAATAGCGAACGCCTGGACAATGAGCAATATCACGGCACTATTAGATCTCTTGTGAAATGTAAATATACGTATGATTATATATATATTTAACCGTATTTAACGTATTGAACCAAAAGTAGCGTAATGATAAATAACACGTATTATCTATCCATCTATACATCTTTTTATGCTAACAAATTGCCTCTGCAACCTTGCTAGCCAACAAAGAAGAGGCTGTAGCTAATATACTAATTGATGACCATCATTGAGTCACTTCTGTTTTCTGTTGTTATGGTCGTTATGAGAATGTGTCTGTTCCATTTGTTCGTAGTCATGTACTTATAGCAGAAAATTGTAAATATTTTTTATGGCAAATATAATCAAGTTCTTCACGGCAATGTTTTCCACGGCCCCGAACATATACCATACAAGTGGAGTTACCGACGCACCTATATTTATTTCCAATATTTAAAAGAGCTAACTCCAGTCCACTACTCAGGCGAAACGGAACACAACAGTATAAATAAATTCTTCCACTTCAGACTTGTCACCTAAATAATTGTTATTATTTTTAATTGGTTATTATTTTTCGAGTAACTTTCTTGGAAACTTTCAATTCACGTTTTGTATTCTGTTTTTAAGTCCCTGAGACTGAGTGATAACAAATTAAGTCTCTGAGTTGTCGTTCGGTCAATCAATTAACCTTAAACCAGACGTCGTGGCATTTGCAAGGACTTTCAAGTAAGGGAATACACTGGGCGAATGCTCGAGATGCGTGACAGCGTCGGCCGAGGGGATCATATCTTACCGGATGTGGCCTGAATAAGTTCAATGACTTGAGTGCCCTCAAGTGTCCTTTAATTTCTGGTTTCCCTCCAGAACGCACTCTAACCAGAAACCCGATTCGGCCAACTTAATATTAATCACTGTCTCATTGTTTTCTACTAAACGGTAAGAGGGTTTACCAGTCAACCTAAACTCAACCCAACTCCTAGAACTATAGACGCAGATTCAAAGCGATTCGAGCCTACTTCCTTGCGGAACGGTTGCTACTTGTCGATAGTGATCCTTTATAACCTATGTATCTGGTTATATAAGTACAATATATATTAATGCTTTCGTCTATATGCAGAGTGTAAGGAAAACTAGTTAGTGGCTACATTCTGCACCAGCTGCGGTTCCGTTAGGAATGCGAGATCTCTTGCGCGATGTCGTTAAATATTCAAACGATCTCGTGGGAAATCAATGGCGAGTTATGCACACTGCATTGTTGGAGCCGGCTAAATGCAATAACAAAGGATGTTATTAATTATGGAACCCATTCGAGCACAATACGCCACTTGTCCTGTCGGAAAGAAGTAACGATATCGTCGAAGTATTTACCAATTTTAGTAAAAATTGCGGAGTGCATTCCTAATCAATAATTGCTATTCACCGAGATGGTAAGATTTCAAATAGTCTTTTTAAAGGATTAATTAGATTAACTACCGGCGGTCAAAACTTCACAACTTACAACTTTGATACAGATATGAATATACAATCTAGGAGAATCCTTTCATTCAAGGTATGTATTTAGTTCTCCTAAATATATGTATAAAGTTATTTATTTTAACTTCATTATTGCACCTTAAGCTAAAAATGGATTGACTTCATGTGTAACGGCATTAACTCTACTAGTCTGCCCTTCTTATCATCATCATCTGAGGCATTACAGTCGTGGGTGGGCCTTAGCCTGGTCAAGGAAATCTCTCCAGTCCGATCTATTCATGGCTTTGTTTCTCCAGCTTATAACCCCCAATACTTGGTGTCATGTTCGACGCCATCCAACAACCTGAGCTTGGGCCTGCCTCTACTCCTGCGATCCTTCAGCCGGCCCGCCAAAAGGTATTTGGGTACTCTGGCCTCGTCCATTCGCATCACGTGACCTGCTCATCGCAGGCGTCCGATCTTTATGAACCTGATGATGTTTGGCTCTTCATTTAATTGGTACAGCTCTTGGTTGTAACTGCCCCCATCTCACGATGAAATATAAAAAGGAAAAATTTGCTTGTATTCTTGTTTTCTCGACTCCAATTCACACGTGTTGGCAAATCTATGTTGAGTTTAATAATGATAATTTAACACCGTATCACAATTTTGAAAATAAAATATTAAATACCTACGTAAGTATTCATTAGTCAACTTATTTTGCTTCCGCATGATTATCAACATAAGTTAGATTCAACTATTATTTCTAGCTAGATCGGTAAATAAAGAAATTTTTGATTTTGAATTTCTGATTTGAATTTTTTAACTGTCGGTTCAATAGTTTTAAACATTATCCATTAAAAACGTATCAACAAATATTATTGTGGTTAAAATAAACTCTAAAGGTCAATAACCCTGAGGTAGATGACAGAGACGGCCAGCTGTGTGATTAGCTTTTAACGAGCTTACAGCACTGGAAATTGAAATTAAACGAGAGACTGGTTGAGCCTAGAACATTGTAGTCTTACTAATGGTATATGAAATATACACACGTGGATTAAAACATGTAAAACTGCCTATGAACTAAGATGATATAATTTCAGATCAACAGTCTATTAATCTTAACGAGTTAGAAATACTTTATGCAAATAAAATCACCAAGCTCTGCCATTGGAGAATATGTAAAAGCCCCAATGAAAAGAAATACAGTAATTAATTTGAAATCGATTAACTGATCAGCAATTGGTATCACTTTCACCTCAGACGCGATCAAAATTTTCTCCAAAGTAAACGTTTGCCTTAAATGCCTCCTTAATGTTCCACTACGCGGAGATGAATCATCGTCCGTGCTTTCTAATCCATCAGCGTCCATCCACCGGCCGGCCTTAGCAAAGTGCACTGTCGCTTATAAAAACTCCATCGCGATTTTATCTCTGCGATGTCGGATTAAGGTCGAATGTGGGTAGAATCGCCTACACGCGCTCTCGGACGGATCTAACCATAAGCGAAGCCGGCTCTCTTAGTCAGCGACGTTTTCCTTCTAGGGTCGCGCTAGATCGGTAGGACAGTTTCGCGGGCCAATTGTCATCGTATTATTCGGTAACGGATAGTAAGAGAGGCGTGTGGTAAAAATAGAAATCGATTGGATTGTTAAGGACGAAATGCGTTTCATCTGATGAAGCATTAATTGAGTAGGAGTTGGTAGAGCCGCGCATAGGATAGCCCGTTGGGACAAGTACCACGATCTCACAAAGTATCTCTATCTATACTCTACAAGAAACATGAGCGGTTCCTCTCTAACTATCAGGTGACTCTCTTGCTGAGTTACCACGTGTTTGAAATAGATTAGATTTAGGTTTGATTAGTCGTGATAGCTCAGTGTCCGGGCGATCGCCTTCAATTAAAAATACTCGAGCAAACTGAGTTCAATCCCCAGTGCTCGCACCAATGAAATTGTTAAATCTAATTGCTGACTTATCACGTGGTCAGCGTTGAAGGAAAACATCGTGCGGAAACCGGAAATATGCATGAAATTTTTAACAATAACCAATAAAGAATTAAGTGTTAAATAAACCTAATAAAAATAAGCTATACTGTAAAAGCTCATAATTATTTAAGACGGTAGACTCATTGTTCGTGTATCAAGTGATTGATTGATGACCATCAACGTAATGTCGTATCAATTCCGCGTCCGTTTCAATTTATTCACTCCGATGAAACGTATCAAGGCTACGTTTGATACTGATGTCAACGCCAACATTTAACTCTAAATGTTTGGCAACTTAGGGTCTCTTTAATCTTATTACCGACTACAAATTATAACTTGCAATTGTAGCTTGGTTGCTGACCGAGGCTTTTGTAATTGTGGTGGTGGTCCTATTGCTCGGTGTGTAGATCCCAGTTCGGAGATCGTAGATTGCGG